CGTCTCTTCTATTTCTGTTATTTGTGGTACTGTGGTGGAACCAGGGTCTGGGCATGGTAATCATGAGATCTACACCCCCAACCCAGGGCTGACTTTTCAGAGGCCTCCCTCCTTGACTTTGAGATGAGCTCCCAGTGTTACTGTTGGAGCCACACCAGCCTTTATCAGGCTGGGAACAGATGAGTCGGCAGACTGCCTGCCTGGTGCTCATGAGACCCTGGGTTCCATCCCCAGTGCTGACTTTTTAAAACCGGGCATGATGACACCTGCCTGTAATCTCAGTGCAGAGAGAGGAGAGGAGAGGAGAGGGGAGGGGAGGGAGGGGAGGGGAGAGAGAGAGAAAGAGAGGGGGGAAGCAGAGAGAGATGAGGGCAGAGAGGGAGAGAGAGAAAGGAAGAGAAAGGGAGAGGCAGAGGGACAGGGACGGGTTGAGGGGGAGGAGTCGGGGAAAAGCAGCTATATTGGATAGGGCCAGCACAGCACAGGGAATGCGTGCTAAATTAGAGGTAGCCACCACTATCTCCACAGTCACCTCCCGAGGGACTGGGGTTAGGACTTCAGCACGGGTCTGGGAACGACGCTGAGTTCAGGCTTTTATTGAGGGCTTCCCATCTGTGTACATCCAGAGGGAGTTCAGGAGATGGGGGCCAAGATAAGAGGGTATCTGCCCACTCAAGTCACAGAGCAGTGCCACAGCAGGGCCAACGACAGGCTCTGGGCCCTCTCTGCAGACTGCAGCGGCACTCCAGGAGACTGTTGTGAGCGCCGGCGGCGACAGGTGTGTTTGTAAGGCCCCCAGTAACCAACTCCTTGGCCAGGCAGCTCCAAACACACTCCAAGGGTGAAAAATTGCTCTCGATGAACAATCCAATAAAGTTTTCTATTTTGTGTACTTTCACCACTCCCCTCTGCTTCCTGACCCTGACCCCCAAACCTTCAGCTCTCAAGCCCTTTCTAGGAAGGACCCAGAAACCAGCGGCACCTACCCACGTGAGACCTGCCACCTAGTGGACCCAAGAGGAACAGTATGACCCGGCGGCAGGCTGCATTCAGCATGAGTCTAAGATTTATTTATTATGTATACAGTGTTTTGCCTGCATGCATGCCTGCACACCAGAAGAGGGCACCAGGTCTCATAACGGATGGTTGTGAGCCACCATGTGGATGCTGGGAATTGAACTCCGGACCTCTGGAAAGGCATCCAGTGCTCTTAACCCCATACCGCAGCATGAGTCTTAGGGGATTCCAAACCCCCCTTTCCCTGCGGCCTATAGAAGCTCCTACTAGGTCTCAGGAGGGGCAACAGAGCCTGAAGGGACGTAGCGCTGTGGGGAAAACCTGAGTGGAGAGGGCTGACTCAGTCTTCAGGTTGATTGCGGGCCACTCCTGAGTCTGGGAAGGCCGAGTGAGCAGACTTTCGGAAAGCATGGTGATCTTGACGTGTAGCGGGGACAGGCCCGCACTAGGGTGAACTGCTTTGCCCTTGAGGCTTAAATGAGAAGTCACCAGCAGCAGCAGCAGCAGCGGGCTCACAACACCCCAGGTTTTGCAGCCTGGGCGGTCTAAAGCCTCCGGCTCTCCTGCCCCGCCCCCAGGTCTTTGACCCCTTCCTAGTCCCTCCCCTGTCCTCTAAAGGCACCTTTGACCGGTGATGTCACTAGGTCTGTCGCAGCGCAGACCCGGCCCGAGGCTGGGGCTGGATTCCTGGAGGCTGCCATGTTCTCCCTCCCTTCCCTCTCCTCCTGGCTCCCCAGCCTCCCCTCCTTTGAGTGGGGTTCCAGTCTCTTCGACCGCCTCCTGCAAGGTGAGCGCCTCCTGAATGCGCATTGGGCCCCGCCCCTCCCTCGGGTGGGCGGAGTGCAGGGTGGATCCCACCACCCACGTGGGTGGGGGTGGCGGTGGGGGTGCGGGCTCTGCACCTGGCTGCCCCCAGCGCTATCCCTGCCACCTCCCTCCGATCCTAATGCCCCCCTCGCCCTCTCCTTTGTCCGGCTCAGGCCTGATCGGGGCCCTTGGAGTCTCGGTTCTCAACAATCTACTGAAAGTTTCCTTCTTCGTGGCCTGTGTCAAGTGAGTGCCCAGTCGGTGCCACCCAGCCCTGCCCAGGCAGTTGGTCCCTGCGCAGAGTCCGGCCTCCCTTGGAGAAGGCTGAGGCATCTCCCAGGACCCGACCCTGTGATCTCGCCTCCCAGCCCGCACCTGTTCTGCCCCCACAGTGACCCCCAGAGGCAAAGCCACAAGCAGCGTCTGCGATCACAGTGGGCCTCGCTGGAGACGGTGCACCTGGCTGGTCTGACCCTGTTCCTGACCGTGGTGGGAGCCCGGGTGGCCGCCCTCGTGGTACTGGAGTTCTCCCTCCGGGCTGTGTCCACAGTGCTGTCCCTGGGCAAGGTGAGACTGCAGGGTGGGGCCAGTCTGGGCCACTTTCATCCCCTGGATTGGGAAGTAGGGCCTCGTGGGGCCCCCTTTTCCTTCAGATGAAGACCAGAGATTGTAGTTTGTTTTTTTGTTTTGTTTTGTTTTTTTGCTTTGTTTTGTTTTGTTTGGCCTCTTTCTTTCCTGTTTTTTTTTTTTTTTTTTCAAGACAGGGTTTCTCTATATCTTTGGATCCTGTCCTGGCACTTGCTCTGTAGACCAGGCTGGCCTCAAACTCACAGAGATCCGTCTGCCTCTGTCCCCAAAGTGCTGGGATTAAAGGCGTGCACCACCACTGCTTGACGAGATTGTAGTTTGTTACCTGGAGTTTTGATTGCCAAAGTCACATCTCCATGGCAATGCAGACAAATCTCTGTCCTCCCGCCCCCCCCCCCCCATGTAAGTGTCAGTTCTATGAGCTGGGAGTGTGGCTCAGTTGGTTGAGTGCTTGCCTAGCATGCATAAGCCCTGGATTTGATCCCCTGCACTGTTTAAACCCAGGCGTGGTGGCTCATTCCTGTAATCCAAGCACTCAAGAGGTGTAAGCAGGTGGATGAGAAGTTCAGGGTCACCCTTGACTAACTATTGGGTTTGAGGTCAACCTAGAACACATGAGATCTTCATTTAAAAAAAAAAAGGAGGGGTCCTGTATTGCCCTGGCTAGGTACCTTGAGGGGTTTGGCACATTTTGCCCTGACAGCTGTAATGATTAAGAGTCTCGGATCTCCAAAAGTGGGGAAACTGAGGCTCAAGGAGTACATGGTTTGTCTGTGATCCGTAGACAGGGAGTCAGGGGTGAAATCAGGTCTCGAAGGCCCTGAACCATCACCAGCCATCGATGGGCAACAGAAACCAACTGTGAGATGCCAGTCTCCCACAGTGCAGCCTACCTTGGACTCCCTTCCCCTGCAGGGCTCGGGGGACAAGGAGCGACTCCAGCTCTTCCTGGTGTGTCAGTTCTCACTAGGCTGTGGGCTGACCTGTGGCCTGAGCTTCCTACAGGAAGGCGCCCCACACTGCACCCTGAACCTACTGCTGAGCCTGGGGTTGGCAACGATGCTCGGCTTGGGTGCCCGTCGCTTCCGCCGACACATCTGCAGCCTCTATGAGTTGCACACCAGCCAGCGCTACTGTGGGGTCTGCTTGGGCCTGCTGGCTGGCCAGCACGGCCTTCCCAGGCTCCTGGGCCGCACTCTGGCCGTGGCCTTTGCTGTAAGTGACTTGGCAGCTGTGGCCCTCATCAACCAGGACTTCCTGAACACGTCAGAGGCCATGCGTTTCTGGACACCACTCACCATCTGCTACACGCTCCTGGTCATCTACATGCAGGGTGAGAGCCCCTGGGCCGGGGTCCCTTCCATTGGTCACACTCCTCTTGCCATCCCAGCCACCTAGTCCAGGGACAGGACTTGTGGGGTACTGTGGGGTACTGTGGGCTGCTCAAAGTAGCCATGTGACATAGAAGCCCTAAGTAGCCAGTCCCTGCGCTGGTCTAGTGGTAAGGTGATGGGGATTATGGGCAGGAGAAAAACCTGCCAAAACACAGAGTGGCTGAGGGTGTGGCCATGTAGAAACACTGAGTGGTTCAGGGTTGTGACCCCAAGAGCAACAGGGATCGGGGCAAGGCTGGCCACTTCAGAAAAGCCTGGTCCAGAACACTGGCCAGTCAAGCTGGACAGGTTCCTAAGCAGGAGAGTGGAAGACAGTGGCTGATCAGATCTGGCCTCTACAAAGAACCTCCTGGCTGCAGACTGGGAATTGATATGGCGAGGCCAAGTAGGAAGGATGGTCCAGGCGGTAGGAGCAGCAAGTGTGAGAACCCTGAGAGGGAAGTCAGCTTGGTAGGCTCAATGTGCAAAATGAGAAGCCCCAGTGTCTGGCGCTGTAAGTGAGGGTCAGAGACTGACTGGGTGAGGACGGGGAAGTGGGCTTGGGCTGGCTCAAGCCTGACCTCGTAAGACAAGGCTTGGATTCGAATCCTACTCTAAAAGCAATTGGAAGTCCTGGGAGCCTTCTGAGCAGAGGAATGATGTCATCTTATTGACACGTCTAGGTCACGTTAGCGGGGTCAGTAGAGCTTGTTCAGGAAAGAAGTCATGAGCTTCTTTGACCCCGTGAATGAGCTTCAGCAAGAGGGAAAGGTGTCTGGGACCAGGGGAGGGCTAGAGAGTGGGCGTGTGCTAAGCGGAAGTGGAGCAGGCTGTAGATGAATCAGACCCATGGGCACAAAGGGGAGAATCTCGGTCTTTGTCACCAACTGGAAAGGGCTCTGCCCTCAAGCCAGAGGGAGACTTAAGGGTGGGCTGTACATCTTGTGAGTGCCCAGAGAGGGAAGCCAGGATGTGGAAAGGCAGTCTGGGAAGGGGAAGGCGATACTGTCTCTGGGGGAGGCATTGAAAAGTGGAACAGGCTGGCCCCAGCTGACCTCCAGAGGGTGCCGGCTGCCACAGTGACAAACAATTCCTGCAGAGGAGCAGCGGCAGCATCGCTTCAGCCTACAGGGCCAGGTCCAGACGGTGCTGGTGCGCATGGGGGGCCTCTTCATCCTGTTGATGGCTGTTGGCCGTTGGCTGGACCTCCTCGGTGTTCTTGTTTCTCTTGTGGCTGAGCTCTGGTCCTTGGCAGGTGTTCGCACGCTAATCGACCTCTGCCAGATACAGGTAGGCACCTCCTTGTAACCCGCAGCTTCCCACCCTGCTCCCAAGGTTCCCAGCACCGACAGAGGCCTAATTTTGACAAGGGTTATGTTGACTGGGGAGGGTAGAGGGCCCAGGTGTCTTGTAGGCCACTAGAAGTGGGGAGGTGGATGCCAGGGACCATTCCAGCTGACACCCCAGGGTCCCAGAGGGGCAATAAGGTCCTGACGATAATGGACCTGAGACTAATTGGGAGGTGTCCCTTCTGACCCTCCCCCAGGGCTTTCCATCCCAGAGGCCTACAGTAACAGCAGCAGTAACACCAGGAAGGGTATCAACACTGACAGATCCATGCGAGCCCCGGTCTTCCGCACCTGCCCTGTCCAGAAGTGAGGCCCCCTCCTGACCTGCCCTATGGAGGACTCAAAGTCAGTCTCAGGCCTACACAGGCTGACCAGCAAGGCCTTGAACACAAGATGTGACCTGGAGACTGAGTGGCAGAACTGGTCCCCACCTAGAGTTCAGGGCAAGACATGGGGGCCCCTGGAGAAAGGGGACAACTAGGGCTGGGGGACTTGGAAAGGTGGGGCCATGAAGGCCCATGAGTAAATCCCTCTCCCTTGAAGATGGGTAGTGAATGCAGCCTCATCAGACCCACCTTTCCTGGCCAGGCAGGAGGACAGTCTGTGACCTCAGAATGGGCCCCTGCTCTCTTGCCACCCCTCCCCCCACCTTGCTCTTTCCACAAACAATAAAGTTGACTTTTCTCAACCTGTGTTGAGGACTACAGAGACAGAGAAAGAAGAGGAGGCTTCCTGAGGCCCACAGAAACCCTCTTTTGGCAGGGCTTTGGGATAGGAGCCTCAAGCCTACCCCTGCCCTGAGTCTCCTGGGGGCCAAGGACACATCAGCCCTCATGATGGTATTAAGAGACAGGAAGGACCTCAACAGAATCTGGGATCCTCCAATCGTTTTCTCCAGGCCTCACCTTCTCTTTGTCACCCCCATACAGCCAGACATGGAATAATCAGAAAAGAAGAGATATGCAGAAATAAAGGTAAAAGCCCAGAGGCAATTAGAGAAGTTGCTAGTAAGAAGCCAAGCTAAGGCCATTGGGCATTCATAAGAAAGAATAAGCCTCTGCGTATTTATTTGGGAGCTGGGTGGTGGGCCCCCAAAGAGTAAGAGCCAAACAAGTAAAAATAAAGAAATAAATAAAATCCTACAAAGAAGCCTCTTGGGCCAGAGAGACCGCCTGTGTGGGAGTGACGAGGAAGAGGTGAGGGCTTTGAGGACCCCAAATTCTGCTGAGGTCCTTCCCCTCTCCTAAGACCATCATAGGCTGAGTGTGATGAGGCCGTAACTTGGCTGGAGGAGGGTTTGCATGAATCCCTGGGTTCAATCCCCAGCACTGCATAAACCAGGCATGATGGTGCCCACATCTGCAGTCCCGGTACTTGTAAAGTAAGTAGAGCTCAAGGTTATCCTTTGCTACAAACCAATTTCATGGCCAGCCTGGGCTACATGAGCCCCTGTCTCAAGCACCAAAACAAAAAGACCATGGCCACCTAAGAATTATTGGCCTCTGGTTCTCTCCTCCCCAAGCAAGCAAGGCAGGCCTGCAAGCAGAGCAGGGACAACACAAGGCTAGCCTGGTAGTGTCAGGCACAGCTCAAGGGCAGAAGCTCTGCTCAGCACAATACCAATGTCCCTGCTTGCGTGAGTTGGCTTCTATCCCTCAACTTGCCCTGTCTGGAGGAAACGACTCATCTGGTGGGCAAAAGGCCAGCATCCACCAGACCCAGACTGGCTCTGGGTTCTAACAGAACCCACTGTTTGTACTGGAAGGCATTCCAGTCTTAGCCCTCAGCCTGGCTGGGAATCCACTGGCGACAACTGGGAGAGAACAGGACTCAGCTGTCCTTTCCTTTTTATGGGCACAGGGACCATTGTCCAAATAAAAATTGGGATGTGTGGGCTGGGAGAGATTTCTGGTCTTATCTATTTTCTGAAAATTATTTTGTGTCTGGCAAGAGTATAAAAATTTAGTCATCCAGGCTTGTGGGTGTAGCTCAGCGGTACGGTGCTTGCCTCCAATATATGAGGCCCCCCAAACCAAAAGTGCTGGGAGTGTGACTCAGTTGGTATATTATTTGCTTAACTGAAAAAAAGCTATCTCCCTGCCCAAAATCAGCAGGCCCTGGGTTCCCAGCACTGCATAAAGTAGCCATGGGTTTGCATGCCTATCATCTCAGCATTTGGGAGATGAAGGCAGGAATAGGTCATTCGGTAGATACATAGTGAGTTCAGAAGTTCAAAGCCACACTGGGATGCATGAGACCCTGTCAAAAGGAGGAGAGAGAGAGAGAGAGAGAGAGAGAGAGAGAGAGAGAGAGAGA